ACTTTAAATCTGTTCTCCTCTTTGCTCCTTTCGGTGCAATCGGAAAAAACAAACAAACATGCAAATAAATATTCTTTTCTCTCAGGACAAGTCTCTCCTGCCTGAAATGATGTCACAGTAAAGCTGACCTTTGACCTCATCAATATAAGTTATCATCAGTTCATATTTTTATACCATGAGATATAAGTGTAAAATTTCGTCATTATTAGTGCATTTTTGAGTAATGGTCAAAAATATATTCTTTGAGGTCACAGTGACCTTTGACCACCAAAATCTAAGCAGTCCAAGTGGGTGTTTGTGCCAAATTCAAAAAATGATCTTTCTACAGTTTCACCTCCAGAAACCTTGTTTTACTTTTACTTTCTCTGGATCAGGGGTGGCCAAACTTTTTAAAATCTGGGTTATATGCAGACAAATATATGGAGTTACGGGTCAAGCAACAGTTAAGACATAGTTTTTAACCAGTAACATGACAAGAAAATCAGTGTTTCTAGACTCGAAAAGCCCTAGAAAATACCACACAACTGCTGGAGCTCAGTCGGTCCCCTTCTCCACACTTTGACTTATTTTATCCTACTTGGTTCTATTTCTCCCTCTCTGGGAGTCTGGGCTCACCGCGCAGCACCCCACCACGCAGCACCCCACCACGCAGCACCCCACTGCATCCATCCACCCCTCCCTCCCTCGCGGCCCCGCACATATACCCCCGAGCCTCGGCGCCTCTCCTTGACCAACTAACCTAAATACTATAAACACACTACTAACTGTAAACCTACACTAAAATACACTATGCTGACAATACAATTCGACAAATTACTAGCTATTCTCTCTGCTCTACTACTCTCTCTGCTCTGATCCAACCTACTCGCTATCAGTTTGATAACTGCGGACAGAATGGTTTTATAGTAAGGGGAGGAGTAAAGGGAAGAGGGCAGGCTTTAGCGTGGACGGTTAGTGATGTCATTCACCCTGAAAAAAAGTCATTCACCTCCAATGTAATGTAAATTCAAATGTAGTAACCAGGTTTCAAGCTGTAGAGGGCACTCCATACCACATTTTTAAAATAAAATGTAGATTTTCAACAGTTTGCACTAAACTGTCAAGATTTTGAGCAGGATCAGTCAGTAACACTACAATACTACCAGAAACAATGATTATCAGCTGAAAAAAATGGTTTTAGGGTTTAGTTACTCTTTAAGAAGGGACTGACTGAGCTCACTGACTAGGCCGACCTGATTGCCTCAGGCAGACTGTTTCAGAGCCTTGGGGCCCTGACAGCAAATGCTCTGTCCCCTTTAGTTTTCAGTCAGGCCTCTGAAACAGACAAAAAACCTCTGCCTGAGGACCTCAAAGTACGTCTTGGCTCGTACGGCACTAAAAATCGGAGATACAGCTAAGACAGAGACCATGAAGAGCCTTAAAGTCAGCAAAATCTTAATTTTTAAAACATACAAGGAGGTAGTGTAAAGAGGAATATGAAGGCAATGTCCTTAATACAGTGGCCACTGGCTCAATTCCAGACTGTGACCCTTTGCTGCGTGTCATCTCCTATCTTCCCCCCCTTCACGCTTAGGCTATCCTAAAGAATAAAGTGAAAAAACCCAAAAAAATAAAATTAAAAAAGAAATATGCTTACTTAAAAACAGGCAGTGGGCCGCAGTTTGGCCATCCCTACCCTAGATAGTCAAGTATGATCGACACAGGTCACAGTGACCTTGATCTTTGATGTTTGTTCACCAAAATCTCATCAGTCCATCACATCTTTGAGTCCAAGTGGACGTTTGTGGCAAATTTGGGGAGATTCCCTCAAGGCATTCTTGAGACTGGGTTGGACGGACAACTTGAGAACAAAATGCTTCCGGCTGCAGCTGTCACAGGCATGAGGGCATAAAAACAAAACATTTCTGTGTCTGTGAATGGTGTCAACAGCACTTTGTTTACACCTCCTAAATCCCGAATAAATCTATTGTAGTTTTATATCAGTATGCTCAGAGAAGGTCAAACAGTTTTGACCCCCAAAATAAGAAAGATCACTGTGTACAATAACACACTGTACATGTCCATCTGTGGGGGACTTTTTGGCAAACAAAAATATTTCCTTAGGCCATATAGCATACATATCATAATACGTGTTATTTGGTGTAATAACAAGAGAAGTAACTAATAATTGACAGATTATGTAATCTTATGCATTTATGGTAAACAAGACAAACACTCCTCTCTGGCTTCTTCTTCAGGGTCAGAGCTATACCATATGTGTGCACACTGATTTCCTGCCAGGGAAACTTTTCTCAGACAATAAAAAACTTATCTTAATGTGTCCATGGAGCATATATTTGTCCAAGGCATTACAGAACATATTAAACAGTACGCCTCTCACTTTGGGTCACGCTCCGCACGTGATATCTTAATCCAAATCTCATTCAGTTTCTCCCTGAGGGTTTTAAAGGAATAATATTTCTGGAGATTAAACAACACAGCAGGGGGGCTTCTCATGCTGGACTGATTCTCTGAAAAACTGAATGTATGTCACGTTTAAAAACATGGAAACTTTATCCTTTAAAATCAAATACTGTGTGGAATCAGGGCGCTGACATTAAGGACACAATGTACCATACTGCAATGCTGGAAAAATATCTAGGCGAGAGGTCAGCCTGTTTTTGTTGTCCCCGGCTTTGAGAGAAAACAGAGGTGTAAAATATTCTCATGCAGGTGATTTGGCATGAAAATCATCATAAAAGTCAGACACATGGGCTCAGACACATTTCCCTCATGCCTGCTCTCGACCTACATGTGTCTTTGATTTATCTGGAGTTTCTAAGTTTCCTCGGTGCCCCCAAGTGCCGCAGAGGGGTATAAGTGCTACCATAAAGTACACACAGAGCATCTTAACATCTTGTTTTAATTTCACATGACATGATATGAGACAGGAATGTACCCTCCTTGATTTATTTCATTTTGAAGTTTTGCGTGCAGGCGGAGGACCCGGGATAAGACACTGTGGTAGCTTTTGCTGCCCAGTTGTGCCACCAATGGGAGAGGGGGCTGTTTAACACACCCACACTGCTCAGAAGATCTGTTTAAGATGCAGTGGTGGATGTTCCTATAGGCAACAGAGGCAGCCATGTAGGGTAACTTATAAAATATGATGTTGTTATAGATTTAACTACAAACATAATTAGCACTGGTGTCACAGTGATGCAGTGGTTAGCATTGTCGCCTCACAGCAAGAGGGTTCCCGGTTCGAATCCAGGGTGGAGGATTTGAACCCCAAAGTAGGGGAGCCCTTCTGTGCAGAGGTTGCATGTTCTCCCCGTGTCAGTGTGGGTTTTCAACAGTAAAATTCTACTCACACATCAGTACATCAGTAGTAGGGGAGACCGGGGTTGGTTGGCACACAGCTATTTTCTGGTCTTTTGAAGGTCACACAACATAACATCAAAATGTTTACTTTTTTCACCTGCACTTATCCACTCTGTTAAAACACCTGAAAGTCACCAACTTTCTTCGTGAGGATGATATATCAGTTTTATAGTCTAGAAAGTAAAAAAAGTGGTCTGTGGACTAAACATATAATAAAACTGTGTTAAATAGAGATACTGGAAAAGTGTTACTTCTGGTTATTGGACATGGGAATCAGCTACATTTTGATTTAAGATTTGAAAGTCTGATGAGTGATGGTAGCTGCTAACTTAATTTCATGAGCGGGGTCAGTAGGCACATGTACCAAAGAACTGTAAAACTAAAAGTTGTGACTGTAACTCTATTTTAAGTGATTAAAACTATTTTGAATGATTAAAAACAATGTTTATATTGTTATTTTATTATTATTTTGATTGGTCAATGGCCAAAGTAATCAGACATTCCTACTGATAAACTGCTTAAAAATATTCTTAGTTTCAAAAACAGGCACATACTCTGTTAAATGTTTATGCTTTCTGGTTCTTGTATGAATTAAATGTTCACATTGTTTCTATTAGTTGCTTTATTTTATTGTAACTATTACATTTTAATATTGTGCCACCCAACCAGTGGCGTATGGTAGTTATGATGGGCCCCACTGCACGCTATCATCTTGTCACAAGATCAGAGACTTCACACTGGACAACATCAACATACATATGACCAGGCATATCTGTATATAACATAAAATACCAAATAAAGTAAGAAATTATGAATTTAATTAAGCAATTTTAATTGTTTATTTATAGTTATGGAATAAGCATATCATTTTGTTATAGATGCTATTGACTACTGTACAAAAATAAAGAAAAACAAACATAAAGGAGATGGGTTTGTCTTTTTCAAGGGTATATATATAGCAAATGGCACTGTCTTTAATTTAATAAGAGTTCTTCTTTGAACACAGCCATATTTTCAAGGTGGTAATCAGTCATAAGGGCCCATTCTCCACCCAGCACATTATTAGCGCTGCTCGTTAAAATATCCAAACATAAACTATGCTCAAGAAATACAGCAGAGAGCAAAGTGTGCCAACCAACCCTGATGTCCCAGTCTCATAGTACAACCTGTATCAGTATTTCCCAAGAGCCATTTCACTGTACTGAATATCTTGGATACTCTACATGTTCACTTGAGTACTATCGTCAGTTCAGGACTTTAACTTTCATATTTTTGGCTTAAATGTCCACATTCATCCACATACATTCCTTCTTCTTAAAACATCTTAATATGAGAATATGGAAAAAACAATATAATATTGTCTGAGGCAACTTTTACTGTAATTTATTTAAACCTAAAACTAATTGACAGCTGATAACTGACACTAATGACACCATTTAAATGAAAGTTAATGGGAGAGTCCCGTGTGCTGCAGCCCTCCTGTGGAGCAGATTGTGAATGATCGTTCCTCGGTGATTCAGAGCTGCTGGGACAAAGTTTAACTCCGCCCCTTTACATCCAGCCAATCATGTGTGAATATTCAAATAAGCCACCCATAAAGATGACTTGGAGCGGCAACTGTGACAGACCATAAGAAACTTTACTCCCAAACCACAACTCCTTTAAAATACATACAATTGGATTTACAACTGGTCTCCCGACATCCAGAAATTTTTTGAATCAGGATATTTTAGAAGAAAAAAAAACAAACTCTCCTCAATAACATGGGACAAGAAAATATCTGTTTTTTGTCTGTTTGGATAATTTTGGGACAAATCTTTGCAACTTTTTCGTCTGACCCTGAACTCACCACCACTGAGTTTGGTAAGAGCAGCCTCCCTGTGTGTTTGTCTTTTTATGACTTTTTTTTTTTTTTTTTAGCAAGATAATATTTTCATGATTCATCTGCAGCTCTGTAACGAAGCAATCAAACGCGACTTAATTAATGCATGCTGTTCCGTGTTGACCGAGAGTAACCCCGTGAATCGCAGTTCAGGTCTGCAGGTCTGCATCATATTTCATACCATTCAGGTCCATGTGTGCATGAAGGAAAAGGGGGCTTTTGTCTGCAGGAAGAGCAGAGAAAAAGACACGTTAACAGTGAAAAACAGATTATATTAAAATCTAATTAAACTGAATTAATTCGAGATTGAAATACAAAAACATACTAGTTTTATTTGTTCAATTAGAATCCTCTTTTTGTAACTTTTCTCCACTTTTTTCTCTATTTAGCCTTATTTGAGTTTTTAAAAAGACATATTAAGTTTCATAACTGGGCTCAGTGTAAGAATCTAATTAGTTTACAGGTTTTTATCCATCTTTAATCAACGTGACTGAGCTGAATCTCCTCAGGAATTTCTGGCTCTTTACAATTTTTTGAGGTTTAATTCATTTTAATGCTGGTAGAAATGCAGTGGAGACAAAAGGGGGCGACACTGCCATGCCCTATGCCTCTACCAGTTGTCTGACTCACACTGGTTTAATAGTGGTCACTTGATGTGACTGTGAGGAGCAGCAAGGTTTCGCAATTTGCATGAAAAAAAAAAGTGTTTATTTGTCATCTGAAGGTCAAAATGTGATAAAAAAAATGATGCCTGATTTGTTGTACTGATGCACAGAGCTGGAATATGTAATAATAATGTTGTTAATACAGCTTTTCCTGCTCCTCAAACTTGCTGTCATATCCTAATGAACCTTTGTGTGTGTGTTGTGACAGTGAACTCCACAGTCACCGCGACCCCCCTGCCAACCACTACAGAATGGATCACAGACTACACAGACATTTTGACCAAGTTCTCTGTGCGCTCTTCGGAGACCCCAGAAGATGACATGTGCTACCTTGTCCCCGGACAGCCAGAAAGCATCAAAGACTGTGAATTCAAGTCAGATGAGCAGACCTTCATCGTGATACACGGCTGGACGGTACGTCACACCAGATTTATTTCATCAGCATGCATCACTTTAGAAAGGTCTATCTTGTGGGTGCTTCATATGTTAAGTGTCTTGTGTAACATGCATGCAGGTAATGTGCAATGTTCTGTTTCGGAAAACTTCCTGTGCCCCTCTGGCTCTAAGTCTTGCCAACAAACTGGTCATAAATGTTGAGCCACGTCCAAACTGAAGAGCATCTATACAATACTCAGAGCAGATATGTTGAGAGCAGTGACTTGGCTCTGCACACAGTCCATGCATCTCCTCCTATAATGTGATTTAGAGCCAGTCATGCAACAAGATTCGAACCTGATGACACCTTGGCTTCCCTCCAACCACAGGACACATAATGAGGGCTCAGGCCGGAGTAAATCACGCCACCCTGCAGCTGACCTCAGAAATGTTTGTGACCGTGTATGTGTGTGTGTTACTCTAGGTGACGGGGATGTTCGAGAGCTGGGTGCCCAAGCTGGTGTCTGCTCTCTTCGAGCGTGTGCCCAGTGCCAATGTGATTGTGGTGGACTGGCTGACCCGTGCCAACCAGCACTACCCGACGTCTGCAGCCTACACCAAACTAGTGGGCCGTGATGTGGCCAAGTTTGTAACATGGATACAAGTGAGTGTTAACATTGGACATCCTGACAGCTGGCCAACAGCTGGATCGTATTCCCCACATCCTCTTTGTCAAAAAGTGGATGTGGCTGACTGATTTTAGGATCACCAAATTTTCACCGCTTTCAAAGTCAACCTGGCAGCACAGAAATTAGAGCAGCCAACGAATCTGTGACAAATTTGTATCTGATGATCTAATGTTTTTGAACCCCAGCGGCGCTCTTGCGGATATGTTTCCCTACTGGTTATGATTTTAAACGCCCTATAAAGGCTTTTTATGGCCGTGTCTGTGGCTCACAGCAGCCTGTCTTTAAAAGGCTCAGTATTTAGGGGAGCACAGCCTTTGTTTTAACAACTTCAAGGCCAAAAGGGGTTTTGGCATAAACACTTTAGATTGTTTGTCCTTTGCACATGTCACTTCCAAATTTAAAGCTTGAAAAATTTGGCCAAATTACACATACAATTCCCCGTCCCCCTTGGATCAGGTCCCAAACTCCATTATTAAGACTTAAACAGTATGCTGCAGTGCTCTGCCAGGTGCAGCCTACTATTAATCCATCCAGCAAGTGTGAGGGATTCATTTTAAACTGTTTAAAGGCATGTCAGCATGTTCTTCTGGCACATCTCATCCATCACTTCCCTTTCAGAAAGAGGCGCAGTTGCCCTGGGAGAACGTTCATCTGCTGGGCTACAGCCTCGGAGCACATGTGGCTGGGATTGCTGGAGACCTCACCGACCATAAAATCAGCAGGATCACAGGTGGGAACATTAACTTGGATCATCATCATATACTTACATTACATAATGATAAACTGTATGAGCCTTGATGCATTATTTAAAAGTACATAAATATATTTATGAGCATGTGTATTGTGTTTAGGCTGCAAGCATTTTGGTAGACACTTTAAATGTCTTAATTTAGTCTCTGAGCCAATGAATGTATGCGTGCAAACACGCCATACTATACTGGAGTGTACTATATACGCCCTGCTCATAAAAACAACACAGCACACCAGTGAAATATAGTCTGCTGGCCATTACATTCCAGGCCTGTATTGTATGTGTGCATGTAGCCAGTTGGTGCCGTCTTTGTCAGAACCTTATGGAGCTCTGAAATCTGTCGATCTGCTTAGAATAATGGTATGTTCACTGTGAGGCTGTGACGAACCCATAATCACTACTTCACATTGTTCTGAGTTGAAGTAGTTCTGCCAAAATGTCACACAGAGAAAAGAGACCAAATGAAACACATACTCAAATGTTAGAAATGACCATTTAAGAGACAGAAGTTTATTATTCACAAGAGGTATGGACTAGAGTCAGACCCAAGTCAAAAATTTGATGACTTTCGGCGCATCGGTGGCTTAGTGGTAGAGCAGGCACCCCATGTACAAGGCTGTTGCCGCAGCGCCCTGGGTTCGAGTCCAGCCTGTGGCCCTTTGCTGCATGTCATCCCCCCTCTCTCTCCCCCCTTCACACTTAACTGTCCTGTCCATTAAAGGCATAAAATGCCCAAAAAAAAATCTTTAAAAAAAATTTGATGACTTTGGACTCAACTTGACAAAATCAAAAAAAGATTTGCAACTTGACCAATGACTCCTGACTTCCCTTGGACTTGAGCCTTTTGACTTGAAAATACTTGATACCTTCCCCCAAGCCCAAAGATTAAGAGGTTAAAAATGTAAACTTGTGCCTTGAATCATTTAATACCCCATAATTTCCTGGTTCAGCTAACATTAGCAAGTCAACATTTAATGGTCCAGATCCACTTTGTTTGAACCAATCAGAGAACATTCAAAACGCAAAAACCCCCAACTTTGTTCAACGTGTGAAGTTGCACCAACAACGGCAAGCCGAGGCTAATACTAGCATAGTTAGCAAGCTAATGCTTGGCTAACATTAGCTTAACAACTAAGTAACTTTTTAAAAAACTTGCTGTGACAAATGAATACAAATTTTAAAAAACATTCATGATTAAAAAAAAATGTTATATATTATTATCGCACTGTATTTGTTGAAGAGCATGTTACGACCAGGCAGCAACCTCCAAGGCTGAAAAATTAAGGAAAAGTGGAAGTGCCAAAAACTGCAGTTCATCGAATGGCCACTTGAGGCTGGCTCCAAAAGCGAGTAAGTCCCCATAGACCCCCATGTTAAAATGCCCAACTTTACAGCAGAAAAACATGTTTACAGCCTGGTACAAAAACTGTTTCAGTCTATATAGTTAATTTCAACATTCATGACAACTGCAGGGGGTGATTTTTTTTTTTTTTTTAACTCACCTGTTTATTTTTGGTTAGTCCAAAATTTACGAGCCAGATCTACCCCTTGCCCCTTCACAGCTCCAGCGTCTTACCCACATATGGTCACTTCTTCAACACCCAGAATGCTGAACTTTAGGCTTCAAAACAAGTCCACAAACCAATGGGTGACGTCACAGAAGCCCAAAGTTTAGGAGTTTAGACTTGACTTGGGACTTGTTAGTCTTGACTTAGGACTTGAGTGCAATGACCTGAGACTTTTTGTGACTTGGAAAACAATAAAGTGCAACACACACTGCCGCCATACGCCGCGTGTCAATACGCCCGTCTCCATTATATTCTATGAAGCAACCCAAACTGGTCCTGGCCGACCCGCCACGCCGCTCTGCTTCAGCCCAGTGCTCTATTTCCATCGCGGCCAAGTAGGAGGCCAAATCCAAGTTGCTGTTGCCTCAAAGTTTTTCCTCTTCTTCTTCCGTTACTAGCAGTTGGCAACCGTTGGCAACTAGTGTAGGTACAGCCACCTAGAGGGCTGGGGTGGGAAATACACGTCAATGGTGCCGCTGCGCACCGCTGCCAGTGTGTGTTGGGGGGTGGCACTTGACGGCCACAGCGCTGCGCCGGCGGCGATGTGTGTTGCACTTAACTTAGTCCCATCTCTGTTATCCACCGACTCATTCTTTTTGTTGCACAGTCAGCACAAACACATTCTTCCCAAACAGCTGAATTCACCTTTGCCTCACTCTCCCTTCCTCTAGGTCTGGATCCTGCTGGTCCCACCTTTGAATACGCAGACAACCAGAACACCCTGTCCAAAGATGATGCCCAGTTTGTGGATGTCCTGCACACCAACACCAGGGGCTCCCCGGACCGCAGCATCGGCATCCAGAGACCCGTGGGCCACATCGACATTTACCCCAACGGAGGCACTTTCCAGCCGGGCTGTGACATCCAGAACACACTGCTGGGGATCGCACTGGAAGGCATCAAGGGCCTCCAGAGTATGTACTCCAAATACATCTCGCTATTTATTCCTGCTCGCGATGACGCTTTGGGTTAGGTTTCAGTGTATATACTGTAAACTAAACTTCAACTAGATGACCTCGTGCCATGTTGGCATGCATCCGCCCTTATTATTAGACTCCAGTGGCCAGTAATGCGCACTGAGTGATTACATACACAGTTTACGCTCTTGGATTTATGTCATGTATTTTGGAATGTGCAATAGCTTTTGTGCAAGTGATAATAGCTAGCAATCTTCTTTTTGGAAGAACAACAGTGTTGAAAACAGTCAAGATAGGCTTATATAACTTTACATAGTGTAAACAAACGCTTTGCCTCCATAAAAGCTATAATTAAAATATGCTTGATTCCAGTCACAACAGCCACAGATTGAGAGTATATCTGCCAGATGCTATAAGAGTTTTAACCAAGCAAGTCAGAACTAAGTGAGAAATGCCATCTGTGTCAACGCTGACATGTCAAGAGTCGTAAAAGCAACACATGTGGAAGACATTTTCTCGGTTGCATGATGTTAATCTGAGAGAAGACGCAGAGGTTTCACAGCTTCCATACTCTCTGTGCCACAGATATGGACCAGCTCGTCAAATGTTCCCACGAGCGCTCCATCCACCTGTTCATCGACTCCCTGCTGAACATCCAGCAGCAGAGCCTGGCCTACCGCTGCAACTCCAGAGAGACCTTCAGCAAGGGTATGTGCCTCAGCTGCAGGAGGAACCGCTGCAACAAGATCGGCTACAACATCAACAAGGTCCGTCCGACCCGCAGCGCCAAGATGTACCTGAAGACTCGTGAAGTGATGCCTTACAAAGGTAAACACTGGTTTTGTGTTCTCCTCTGTGTCAGAAAACAAAAGAAATACTATTACAGAAAAGTCTGGCTGGGTTTATGTACTTTACAGAAGATTAGTGGGAGTTGAGTTAATTGATGCACATACCATAACTGGAGTAATCCTCAGCGTGTGAGCTGCTGTTGTTAAATGTACTTAGTGTGGATGTAGCTGCCTGGAGCTGGAATTAATATTGGTACACACTGCACTACACACACTCTGACAGTAATGCAGGCAGACATGTTCAACAAGTAGCAAGCATTCAGGGGGTCACATGAAGAAGAGGTCATGGGTATTTTAGTGGCGTGGGTGATGCCTAGGTAATGCGACACTGCTGCATGTGATGGACTATCAATGGAAAAGTTAATTTAAGAATTTGGCACAAGTCAGCAGTATTTTTGTGCAAGTATGGGCATGTTTAGTAAATAGTTTTAAACTCATGAATATATATAAGGGTGCGTGAATGTGACCAGGATTTAGAGCACAATTAGCAGCGTTACAGTCACATGGAGACAAAGAAAGGTTACATCAGAGCTTTTAAAGTATTAAACCAACTTTAAATAGTGGTATGAGCCAACTGCTAAGAATACGTCAAGCTCTGAGAGTGTCTCTAGTGTTAACAGTCTGTTTCCTCTCTCGTAGTTTTCCACTATCAAGTGAAGATGCATTTCTTCAGTAAGGACCGACTGAGCTTCACCGAGCAGCCGATGAAGATTTCTCTGCATGGAATGCTCGGAGTGAAGGAGAACATTCCCTTCGTCCTGTACGTACACCAAACAGTGCAACTTTTCAACATCCTTAACAGTGTTTCCAACTATCCTGACTCTAAAGACCATAAACACACGCGTGCAAACCCTCATACACACACACCGATAGAAGACAGTCCGACGTGAGCTGCCAATCTTTGAACGTTCCTCTTCCTTTCACCCTGCAGGCCCGTCCTGGATGGTAACACCACTTTGTCCTTCCTTATCACCACCGATGTGGACGTCGGAGACCTGATGATTGTGAAGCTGCGCTGGGAGAAGGATGCACTCATCAGCTGGTCAGACTGGTGGGGTAGCAGCAGGTTCCACATCCGAAAACTGCGCGTCAAGTCGGGGGAGACCCAGTCCAAGTAAGTTCTTGGTCACCATCACAAAGATGTGTTTATCTAGAAGAAACTAGAAAAGATTCAGTGACACTTTGGTATTTTATTGTACTCTAATTTATTAATTCAGTTTTACTTTAAAATGTTTTTTTTCTCCGTGTGATTTCAGAGTGATCTTCAGTTCAAAGGACGGAGAGTTTGCCTACCTCGTCAGGGGCGGAGAAGAGGCAGTCTTTGTCAGGTCAAAAGAAGACAACATGAGCCGTAAAGAGAAACTGTAAGTTGAGGAGCTTGTTTTTTTAATGTCATTTATCAATTGATGCTTCAAACTCCAGTTTTGTCAGAAATGGAAGCTCTCCTGCTTAAACAATTGTCTTTCCTTCCCTCCAGGCTGCACAAGCTGAAGATGCAGGGCACTCTTTACGGGCAGAACAACTCTTGAAGTTGCACTTGAGCACACACTATGCACAGCATCCATCCCCACACACATAGCCAAAGATGGAAAGCACACAGCAAAACTGGGAAAGCCTTTGCAAGTAACTGGACATATACCGAATGCTGCATTTCTTTTTTTTTTCTTCCTGTTGCGCCTCATGACTTCATCTCCCAGTGCAACCAACACAACCTCGTCCACAGTGCTGGAAAGCGGTTTTCTCACTCAAGATCCCTCCTGTCTCTTTTCGCATATTCTGCTGCTGAAACCTTCAGTAACTTTTGCTGCATATATTTGTAATCATTTCATGCTTTTGTAGCCTACATGTACTGTTTATACTGATTTTGATGTATTCTGAGCCCCTGAAGTGGTGTGTTTGCTTTGCCTTTGTGAACTTGGATTATTGTATAAATGATTCAGAGTGATAGGCACATTTTAGGCACATCTTTCTATTTTATTTTATTTTATTTTTTTAATGTGCAAAATGAAAATTTTGTCCCTTATGTTTGTCTTCACTGAACCACTAATTGCCAACAATTGACAGGGACCAAAGAAGTATTTACTGTCTACTGAACGCTAGTCTGAGTGGGAGGAAGTTCGCTGCAAAGATCAGCCTCTCATTGGGCGGAATGAGCCACCCGCTGAAGTCCCGCCCTACCACCTCCGGTTGCAGTTTTCAACACGTCCTTTACTAACTTTTGCAGTGTTTGATCTTGCAGGGATGTAGCCATTTTTCTGCCATGGTTCACGTCCTGTAGGTGATATTTTTGTGGGCATGGTACACCAAAACCTGTTTCTCCCCCGGCAATATTTTTGCAAGCGCACCGTTGCTGTGGCATCGCCAAGAACGATTGTGATTGGTTGAAAGAAATACAAGCAGCCGGGGCGTTTTTTTCTCCAATCTTAAAGTGAGAGTCGGCCCAGCCAGACCTTTCTTTTCTTGAGAAAGGTCTGGTAAGCGAGACTAACTGAACGCAGAATCACAGCAGTCTTTGTAAATTACTTTTTAAAATTAGTATTATATATATATATTTTTATTGAATATGAGTGATGTGTTAATATCTGATCTCTTGGAGCCTTGCTTTGTCTTTGATTGTGTTTTGGTTATTGTGTCACTGGTCACTTTAAAACGGCTCTCAGTCCCCTTCAGCCATTTAAATGTTACGGTCATTGAGATTACGGTCCAACAGGGATATGCATTTTAAAGTTTGGCTAATTTGTTTTTTTTTTCATGAACTGTACTGAGGTCACTTGTAAATCCAGTATTGGCTATGTGTTCCTTAATTACTTCATGAATGGGTCAACATTGCCTCACCTGCAACAGTTTACTTCATTGACTAAGCTCCGTCTACAACATGCCCTTATTTTGAAAGGTCAACTGTTACAAATTTGCTGACAATAAACATGCAAGCCTTGGTAATTTGTGATGGACTGGCCTACATGATAGCCATAATACATCTCAGAAACAATTCGTGTTGTATTTATTGAATGTACATTTATATATTTGTATATTAAGCTGTAATATGTTTTGGCGGGCTTCCACTGTCGTCTGTATTTTTATAAATGAAGCGTTTTGTGATTTTATGCACCAGGCTTTGGAGAGATCGATCAAATTGGTCTTCATGCCGGCTGTTCAGAGCATTTATGAACTGAAATGCAGTGCACTGTATAAATAAAGAGCCCAGGATGGTTTAATAAAGAGATAAACCACGTATTCCTGACTGCTCCAGTTGCTTTTAGATTAAATCATCAAAAAAATGTGGACCTGCATTGGAGATAAAGTTGTCACTCACCATGTCATGGATGAGAAAAACTGGCAGGTACATGTCCAAACATGGCCAAGAACTTCTACTTCAATCAGATGTAAAACATCTGCCTGGTAGCAGCTAATAGATTTTAAAAGCAGCTGAAAATATCTTTAAATATCAGCGATGACAGATGATCCCTCTGAGGGATCCACCTGAACATCTGCAGGCTGACAGCTCCTTGATTGAGGCTGACAAACTGGTAATTCTTCTACCAGAAGTATGACACACTTCAACATGGAAGATCATTTTAAATTATAAAAGACATTACTCCTTATTATACCAGTGTTAGTCATCAAAAACGTTATTGTATGTTTATTGAAGCAAAAATTCACTCTGCTTCATGGTTGCCCCTTATGTCAACTAACCGCAGTAAACATATACATTATACTGTGTATGTTTTATTATGATTGTGATTTATATGTATGAAGTTGTATTTATTTGCACCAGGCGCGATTCCAGCTCCTGTAAAGAGAGCATGAATCACAAATAACAAAAACCCATGCTGAGCTGCTTGAGTTAAAGGCACCCTGTGGAGTATTTTTATTGTGAATGCACACATTTTGATTTGCATCCAATGTTTCTCCCCTGAACACAATGTACAGAGTGTATCCTCATGGTCTGAGAAACATGATCAGTGCATTTATTTCCTCAAACAACATGCCCAAAGACTTTCTTTTTGATGTATTGTTCACTTTTCATGCTCATATTTGTCTTTTTTCTGCATTCTCATTTAAAGGTAATAATAATAATAATACATTTTATTTAGAGGTGCCTTTCAGAGCACTCAAGGACCCCTTAACAGACACGGCTAAAAAAATCACAAGCAGCATTGCATCCAAAGATCATTTTCTATGTTCGAGCCATTTATGGGCATGAACCCCCACAGCGCTCAGGTGAGGTCAGGGCTTTACAAAAAAAGGTAGTAATCACATTCCAGACCGTAAGCAGCGGGCAGCCAAGAGACACAGTGTTACAAAAATGCAAATATAGCGAGGCGTAACGCCAAATAAGGGTGAATCTGGGGTTGGCTTTTACTTTCACTTTTGCTGGCCAGTGTGTTTGCAAACAGTAACCTCACCAGTGTCATGGTGTTAGGGCTGGCAATGTCAGCTGGTTCCAGTTCCAATATTTTCTGACTGTTGGATGGACTTGATGGCAGAAGCCGGTCACCTCTAGTTACCAGCCTTGATCTAGGGACGACTAGTGAGGGTACGGTTGAGGATCTTAAATCATGACTTGGAGCATAGGTCGTCAGAAGCTCAGCTATATAACTTGGCGCTAAACCATGTTGAGCTTTAAAAGTTATTAAAAGAATCTTGATATCAATTCTTAAGTTAACTGGCAACCATTGGGGGGAGGCGAGAATCAGGTTTTTTTTTTAAATAAAGCCACTTAAAACTGAGCAGCTGTCTGGGTCTCACTTTTGGGTCCAGTTCTCTCCATTTCATACAACATTATCTATCTTTAAACAATTACATTTTCTCAGGACACAGTAGCTCAATACAAGTCAATACAACAGGGCAGTAATTATGATATGTAGTTGGGGCGACACATCTCCCCCACTGGTCAAATATGCTAAACATGCCCCCGATTCAATTTTTTTCACTCTGTTGTCATGTACACACAGGCTGGAAATACACACACATGCGCAAACAGGACCTATACATGCATTAAATGGAGAGGGGGCTGCCTCAGACAGGCATGTCAAGCAGTTGGGGGTTCAGTGCCTTGATCAAGGGCTCCACCAGTGCCCAGGAGGCCGACTGGCACCTCTCCAGCAACCAGTCCATGCTCCATACAGGACTTGAACCAGTGACCCTCCGGTTCCCAAGCCAAGTCCCAATGGACTGAGCCACTGCCACAACCTTTAAGCACATCATCATGACCCAAAGCATATAGCTACAACAGATGTGTTTTGGGATCTAAGCCCAAACACGAGTAACCTACATCTTGCTCTCTGTTTCTTAGCACACCCTGCCTATAGGAGGACTGCCTATCACTAAGAGACACTGAGTTCTTGTCTATACCAACAATATAGGGAGGTCACTCATCAAGACATCACTCTGCAGTGCCACACGTGGTGAAAAGCCTTTATGTGTCTTAAAATAGGTTGTTATTGATATCGTAGTGCTGAACTATCTTCCCCTCATGGCTTACAACCGTGCTAACAGTTGTGCTCGTCACACATGAAGGTGTCGATCAGCCAACATCTGAAGCCACTTAAAGCCCACATCCAACATGTTTTAATAGTACAGGATTAGAGCTGGTTGTTATTACTAAGCCAGCTTTGCTTAAAATGCAAAACATATTACCTAACGCTGAAACAACCCACTGTATGAGTAAGAAAAAAAAATTATATCTCTGATTCTTTGACTTTGTGGGTTAGTTCCTCTGAAAGAGATTTCCCCTCAACTGTGAGTTGAGCAACATTTGGGATCTGGACAAAGTTAGAGAAGTAAAAACTGTATGATTGGTAACTCATGCTGGTGTCCCTTTTTATTTTTGATTATTCTGGTACACTTCAAAGTCCAACTGCTAGTCAGATGAGGACTGTTATGATGTTCTTTTTTTCCAGTGACAAAATGTTCCTTTGACTTAAAAACACTTTTCCAAAATTGGGAAACAGTCTTAGCTGAGAGAGAGATGTCACTAAAAGGAGTAAAAGTTTAAGAGATCAGCATCTGAACATATTTGTGAAGTATATCTGATGCTAATAACACAAGCAGGAAAAAAATGTTAAATTTGACCCTGCAGCTGCTGACAGCTGGTGCAACACTGTGATATAGTTACATCTCTGTAATAACAATGCCCTGTAATACTGAATGCAAGCATCGGCATCATATTGCCCTGGAAACATTTGTGTTAAATACAAACTTTAGAGCTTCCACAACATCTCTGATACACTGTGGAAACGCTGTCTCGTGACTTTGTGTTGTTGGTAGACATCTGTTGTTGAAGCCACGAAGTTGACTTTTAAAACTTGTCCAGTGGCCTGCACAGACATACAGCCTGGCTCTTTACTGACCCACCATGTTTGTTTTGGACCAGTGGAATACACCACAGAGTCTTGTATTTGCACATCATGTGATTGTGTGCCATTCCTTGAAATCAGCTTGGGAAAATAAATCCTAGAAGTACAAATTAAAAACATTTTGTTGTCTCCAAACTTTGTGGAAGAGTTACTGCTTGTCCACTCTCCCTTTCTGCTGGCACCAACAAATCTCTGCTGTGAAGGTTTGGATGGATGTCTGATTCACTCTGCTCTTCATCACCTCCCCGTCGCCATGACTGAGTCTTTCCCCTTCACAGAGACCAGGACAACAGTATCAGAGGGAATAAAAATGCAGGGACTGCTTTTCGAGGAAAATGTCGTCATGTTCATAGAAGCAAAACAGCTCATGGAGCCAGCTGCTCTCTGTTGGAGCAAAGTCTTGTGTGTTTTGTGTGTGTGTGTGTGTGTGTGTGTGTGTGTGTGTGTGTTACGCTGTGTGGACTACACCTCTTGCCACAGAACAACACTGAATTAAACTCCATTGTTTTTGCAGGTTTCACACCTTTGTTTTCGGTTGAACAAAGGCTCCCGACTCAGGGTTTTTACAGATAGCTTCAGGTTAGTTAAAAGAATGTTAATAGTGCGAAGACTTGTCCCCACACGCAGACCACCAGGGCCTGACTGGCCAAAACAGCAGCTCATTTTAATCCAATAAGAGGAGGCTTCAGGTGCTGCAAACCTGTTTGACTGGATGAAAGTGGAAGGATGTCAGTCATGAATAAGTCCAACTGTCATTAGTTTAACAGCACTTAAAACAGGATCCTTTTTTTAAAAAACGGTAGCCTTATATACTATGTAAGCCGGTGTTGTGGTACTCGAAATCAGTCTTAATCTCAAGACTGCTTTTAAAAAGTCTCGTATTGGAATCAACCACATTTATTTTGCTCTGTTTTGTCTCGGCCTCAGACAAAGATTACTGAGGTTTTTATTCTAAGACTGGTCAAGACCACAACTGCAGTTTGCACTAAATTGCCTGTGCATTTTCTGATCTATTCCTGAACACCATGATTGTATGGAAAACTTCCTGCTTCAAATACAGTAAATAACTTTACCCATTTCTAATTTGAAATTTTTGTTACCGCTGTCACCCCTCCCCATTCCCCTTCACTTCTTGGTCTTGGTTTCATCCCCACCTTGCTACACTTTGGTCTTGGCCATGACTTGGTCTCAGTTTAGGTGGTCTTGAGACCTACAGCAAGTTAACAAGTAGATGGAAATCTTTATTTCTGCAACAGGGCTGTTATTGTTAGAGTTACATCTGAAAGATCTGGGTAAAAATCTGTGATGCTGTAGCTGAAATGGTCACAATGACAATGCTAACATGCTGATGTTGAGCAGGTATAATGGTTACCATGATCTTAGGGTGCGTTCCAGATCGCATACCTTTGCTTTTTACTTTTAGTAGGTCCTGCAACTGCCCTTAAAAGTACGTACTGTTGCATGCAATATGCATACAATCGGGATGTACTACTTTCTCATAACATTACGCCCTGAACTTTGACCATCTTGCTTTTATATCCATTACCATGGACATAGACCAAATGCCACATACTGAGTTCGCCAGAGACGAAGATCAACCCGGAGAGCTCTGCAGTTGTTACGTATGTAGTTTAACTTTAAAATTGTAACTGCACAGATTGTGGATTTTAACATATTATATTTGCGACAATAAAATTACATCTGCAGTTCTCTCTCGTGTTATGTCCTGCTGTTGTTTGTAATATTTAGGATTTTTTCGTTCACTTAAACAATTAATATTCCTATGATTACTGTTGGGCTGGTTCATCAGTTACTTGAACGCACTGTCATCCGTCATTGTGACTTCTGGCAGCTGTCAATCAGCTGTCAAACAGCTGTCAGTGAGCTGTCAAGCTGTCATCTGATTGCAGCTCAGTTGATGTGATGTATCGGCCACTGCACAGAGGATTGTGGGTCAGAATAGCCAGAAAAGCATGCTGGCATGCATACTGCAAAATCGAACTAGATGTAGTAGAATATCCTGGTATTTTTGGCACACTGCATTTAACATACTATGTATTGGGACATACTAAATCATTCCCTGGCACACTAAATAATATGGTAATATGAGGATTGGAACACACAGATCATCTCTGTTTAGCACATTAGCACGCTAAGATTTGCTAATTAGTACTAAACACAAAGTACAGCTGAGGTTGATGGGAATGTTATTACTGTAGGTTCATAAGTCAAAGTATTGGACAAAGTCAAATGCTGACCTACTGGTGGCACTAGAGGAGAAGTCAGGGGAACTCCAAAGTGAGTAGGGTTCATCCTCTGGGGACCATAAAGGTCAGTTCAGAATTTCATGGTAGATATTCTAGTCTAGACTAAAGTGTGGACAAACTGTGGCTAAAAATGGAGTTAATTATTTTAGAAATCTTCTCTGTAAAGACTCTCAATATATAGTAAAAAATCAGAATCAGAATAAGATGTATTACAAACTCTTTAACCATCACTTCATCGGCCTCCTGCCCACTTTGCCTTGGCATCTCGAGCCGGAGTTTTGGGCAACAAATCAGCTGCTATGAAGCCAACTATTCTTGCCTGAACTTTAGCACATAATCCCCGACTGGCATGTGACAACATTTGTACCCAGTTAGTGAGTGAAATGCTTTATGCAATAGGTCAAAGGTCAGAGTTTTGAAGTAATGGAAACTTAGAACTCTGGCTTTAATGATAGCAAATTGAAACACACACACACTGTCCAAATGTTGCTGAGGCTTGATAATGTTGTTTGAGTTTGCCAAGATGTCACTATGCCAAGAGTCTGAGTGCTGGAACCTCATTTAAGGAGGTGACTTTTATATTAATCATAATATAATACATTACTAATATGTTATAAGTATCACCATTTATGAATATTAGACTTATAAGGATATTCAGCATTAAATAGTTGCATAAAGTCTTCATATAAGTCAACGCAATGTCTTTAAAAACCTGCATGTAAAGAACTGTATAAAGCATTTTGTGTACAAAATCTAATAAGTTGCCTCAAGTGATGTCACTTGAGTCGGCTGAGGCTGAAGAGATTAAAATGAAAAGAAAAACAGAGGTCTGGAGTTAGAAAGAAATTAGCTAACCTTTGTAGATCGCTCCTCATCCCTGCTGGAGGCTAGCAGCTCGAGGTTGTAATTGCTACAAGCATAACACACCCAAAACTCCAACCGAACGCAATGTTTTTTTTAAAAGGACAAAGAATAGGCCTTTCCCAAACCGCACCCTAACAAATCCCACCCCATCACGGAGTGTAACTCCATTTGAAGTCATCTTCACAGCTGAATGAAGCACCCCTCATTAAGGTGCAGGACAGGGGTCGACAACCTTTGCTATCAAAAAAGCCAGTTTTAGTTGGCTTTGGATGGCACTGAATGTGGATGACCCTTCACGTGAACACGTAAACAGAGTGTAAGTGGGTAGGGAGATGATGTATGGGGAAAGGCACTACATGTGGATTAAAAAAAAAAAGATGATATCTCTGGTTCTGGTGCATCCATTTAAGGTTAAGGGAGTTAAGGGAGTGTAATGTTAAATCTGTAAAATCCTCTTCTGATAACCTATAATGCAAATTACTGACTGCATTTTTGAACAACAGAAAGACCTATGTAGTACCTGATGCCTGCAAGCTTTCACCTCATTAAAAGTAACACTGCCTGCTGCAGGTTTGTGCCTCCTCTGTATTCTCTCTCTCATATGAGCTCTCTGATGCCATGACAACAGCAGATCAGTGCAAAGGGGCCCCAAAATGCCCTTAAGAGGCCCCTTATGTCCAGCCAAGCTGCCTGCATCCCAGAATGTCAGGATGAGGCAGCCATGTAGGTAACCGGTGATGTATATTCTAAGTTTGTCCGCTTCGGTGCACAACAGAAGCTTGTCTCCTGAAAAACAGTCATGACCTGCTTGTCCGGCCTGCGTCACACCAACTGACTGTAAATACTGACAACAACACGACCCAGGTGTCTGAAAGTTCATCACTGGTGCAGCCTGTAATTACTAAGAAAGGGAAAACAGCGCTGTTTAAATAAACTGTTAACAAAATGTTCTCATGAGGGGAAACATTTTAGTAGCATGTAAACTATAAACACTTTTAAAAGAAACCAAAACTGTAAATAAGTCACTTTTGGTTTGGAAAACTAGAGGAAAGTAGTTGCAAATTAATTTTAATTGATTATAATGAAAGTATTAATGTGACCTTTCACCTATACACGAGGGTTTAAAGCACATTTTTGCTGTTCCTTCTAACTTCTAAATATAATCACTTGTAGTGACATAATAAATTCCAGACTGGTGAAAACATCCAGCATCCAGGCACAGAAGGACCTAATGGCTGTTGCAATATGAACTTCTTGAAGGTCCAGTGTGAAGGATTTAGCGGCATCTAGTTGTGAGGACTGCAGACCAACCAAGTGGAACGTCTCCCGTGTGCCAAGCGTGTATGGCGGCCAAAGCGAAAATGAGAACACACGAAAACACAAAAAACAGATTTGGTCATATCTAGAGCCAGTGTTTGGTTTGTCCATTCTGGGCTACTGTAGAAAAACATGGCGGACTCCAATGGGTGAGGGCACGCTCCATGTATAGATATAAACGGCTCATTCTAAGGTATCCAAAACACAGCTATTCTTATTCTCAGGTGATTATACACAAAATATATTTATGAATAATACCATGTCTGAAAATATAAATCTTACACACTGTACCTTTAAACAATGGAGCTGCAGTGCTGGCAAACTTTCAAAGAACAGCCTGGGAAGACACTTATCCCAGCTTGTTTCTTGTCTTTTTCATTTATTTTCTTTAACTTATCATATCCAATACAACGGCAAAATGTGATCTTTTAACTACAGAATCCTGGGAGTGCTTGTCTCAAAGGGGACAGTGAAAACCCTGTCTATTTCGCTCATCTCTGACCTTACTATTTGCTGGAAAAAATGGCATGAAATGTCAGTTTTTGTTGAGCTAGTTCATTTTTTATTTCCTTGGCTCTCGTTGAAACTCACCTTTTCAAACAAGCTTTAAAAACATCTATAAACTTTTACTATATCTTATCATTTTAAAAGTCAAAAATCCATATTTTGCTTTGTTTTCAGTGCCTAATTTCTTGAAACTGTCTATGGTCTGTATTTTAAATCTTATGTAAAAGTTTCTGTATAAATGAGGTTTTATTGTTATCATTGCCTTTTCATCATTCATTCAATCAGTTATTTAAGTATTCAATCAATCATTAATCAATTAAGGAAAGGGGAAAACAATCAAGCAATCAGCCCAACATGCAGCACCGTCAATCATGTCGTCATACATTTAATAAACTTAGAGACATTAATAAAAGTGTTTTAATGAGAGGCCACGCCGCTGACCACTGTTGTTAAAGCCGTCTAATGATTTACCTTACACATAATTTTCCATTCCCCGCCCGGAGGTCAGCAGCCAATGGCTTGTCAGCGTTGCTATTTAAGACGCGGACAGTTGGTGCTTCAAGGTGGTTCAGATATCAGCGCTCTGCGCGCAACAGGACGCACTGAATTATCCTGAAGAGGAATACACACACGCTCTTCCGCTGCTAGCTCCGATTCACTTGATTTAATCACTGAAGACATTTATTTTTTCATTTTGAAAGGACACATTTGTAAAAGAGATGAAAGCGTGGAGAGTCCGGTTTCTGTACTTTCTGGTGTTGAATGCAGCTGTGCAGAGTGTGACGTCTGTGGAAGAAGAGCTCGCCGATTCTATTTTTGGTGAGTTGCAGGTTTTAACATTTACTCTCACACACATCGACACGCGTTTGTGCAGCAGTGGAGGATTTAACGGTGCAGATAGCGGCGGTGGAAAAGAATCCAATGAGGGAAAATGTGTCTGTAATTTACGCGCGGTGTACTTGTGTATGAGCCGGGTGGGTGTGTGTGTGTGTGTGTGTGTGTGTGTGTGTGTGTTTGGACTCTGAGAGTAACATTAACGGTTTGTAGGAGACATTATGTATCACGTGTCTATGACTAAACTTGTCTTTGTGGTGTCTGGCTTATACCCAACTTCTAATGACTACTATTAGCCATGAGAGACAAGATGGAAATGATTGTCACTATCAGAGCGCAGGAGAGGAACAAAGTGGTGAAAATATTCAGGCTTCTTAACATGAATTAAGTTTATGATCATCAACTAAACTGCTTCAGCCCTTGGCATGTAAAGCCTTAAGTGTCTGTGTCCTGCATCCAGCTCCCCACCCCCACTCTGAAACCAGTTGAGTTGAGTCAGCTGACTGTGTAAGGACCACTGAAAGTTGGACAGATTATAGTCGGTGAGGTGGCAGGAACAAAGCTGTGAAAACTCTCTGTGGTTTCTATGGCACTCAGTCTGACCAAGTGAACCACTGTAACCCCTGATCTTGTCTAAGGTGGAAGCTCATTTACTGAGGGGCCCTAAGGGGCCGGGGCTTATTGGAGCTAGTCACTCAGTTAGCTAGTCAGGCGTCTCTGACCTCCCAGACAGAACATTAGACCAGATTTACACATCTGAGAAAAACACCAGAGGCCTAACATTTTGTTCGCACAGCTCATCTGTCAACCCTCCTCTCTCCCAGGTAACTTCCTCGACCCTCTGAAAGATCTGTTCGACCACAAGGATGACAGCAATCAAACTGTTGCGAAATTCTCCCTCCGCAAACCATCCCATCCTGATGACGACCTGTGCTACATCGTTCCTGGCAACCAGGACTCCCTGGCAGCTTGCACCTTCAACAGCACCTCCAAAACCTTCCTAGTAATCCACGGGTGGACGGTGAGTGAGATGCTTCAGCCTGTCGTGACCTGCCCCTGTCTTTAAAACACCCACAGGCCTTGTTTCACTTGAATCTCTTTTGGTTTAGAAAAAGAAACCACCTGTGACTTGTAGTGTGTCATTATTTCACCAAATTCCAGTGTCATTAAGTCTCGTGAAATTCACGCAACTTACTTTCTTGACAAGCAGCGACATGTCGTTAATACCAAAGAACATTCTGTAGAGATGAAGTGGACTGGAGGGGCTCTGATTTTACAATACGGCCTGACCTTCCTTTAAATAATACCAGGTTTATTCACTTTAATGGTAAGTTTAATGCTTTGATTGTCATTCCAACAGCTGAGCGGGCTGTTTGAAAGCTGGGTGGCGAAGCTGGTCTCAGCACTGTACGACAGAGAGCAGACGGCCAATGTCATCGTGGTGGACTGGCTCACCTCGGCACAGAACCACTACATCATCGCAGCTCAGAACACCAAAGCAGTGGGGCATGAGATCGCTCGCTTCATCGACTGGATTGAGGTCAGTGGGGTCGAAACTTTACGTCTCAACCCAGTAATGTTCCACCTGTCACTCTCCAGTCAGAATATTCAGATTTTCACAACCTCTTTTTAAGAGGGGAAACTTCATAAAAGTTTATAGTTGTTGCTTTGAATGATCTCTGACACAAGAACACTGGGCCCAAAAAAATATTTAGTACAGATGAGCCAGTGCACTATTACCTTTATCTGTAATGGGAGTGGGCGGGGCTTAAGTCAGAAGTGGGTGTGGTTTAAACAGAAACCTGAAAGTTTAAGTATAGGTTGATCAGGAGTTGCTACATTTATTACTTGTTAGAAAACTATTTACAGAACAGCTTCAGAATTGAGCCTCAGTGTATTTTTAATCACAAGAATAAGAGACTGACTGCAGCTACCCAAATAAGGATTCTCCTTCATCACCAGTGACACATTTAACTGGGATGATACTCAAATGCCTAAGAAGTACATTATATGTAGCAGATACTCATTTTAAACCGGTGGTCATGAGTTTCTCTAACCACCAATAAGTAAATGAACCTGTATTTTACAACACTAGAGAGCTACTAATAGAGCTTTTACTCACCACAACAATCCAAATCACTGTTACAGACAATTTATTAACCATTAGTAATTCATATTGTCTTAACACAGCTTAAAGTAAAGTAGTACTATTCTGATACATGTCACTCACAGGTCATTTTGAAGCAGGATGTGTCACTTTATCTGTGCAAGAGAATGTTTGTCTCGCTGATTTCCTAAATCATATTTTAATTGATTAAATGTAAACTCCAAGATTTTGATTCACTCTCTGACCAGACTAAAATGCAACATGTACTTGGAGAAAATAGTGTCAGCGCCATAAATGCAGCAGGATATATCAGTGCATGTCACAGCCTGAGAGACAGCCTAACAACAACATGTAGTTCATCTCCTCACAGATCACACTCTGCTTTTTTACTGACTCCTTCACTTAATATGTTTTTTTTTCCTTTAAAATTTATGTCATGATTTTGTATCAATACATTGTTGTAAACTGTGTCTGAATTCACTGACTTAAATTGTAATTGTGCTTTGGCAACACATATGAAATGCTATGCCAATAAAGCTTATTGAATTGAAATTAATCATAAATATTTCTATAAAGGAAACCACAAACATGCCTCTGGAGAACATCCACCTGATTGGCTACAGCCTCGGAGCTCATGTGGCAGGATTTGCTGGAAGCCATGCAACCAATAAAGTCGGAAGAATAACCGGTAAGAAAAAACAACTCTACCTTTTTGATGTCTTGCAGTTTAGTTTGATAAAAGATCAGTTAATCGTGAGCTGACTGGTTGATTCACTGTTACCTGTCTCTGTCTGCAGGTCTGGACCCAGCTGGTCCCGACTTTGAGGGCGAGCACGCCCACAGGCGTCTGTCCCCTGATGACGCTCACTTTGTGGACGTCCTACATACCTTCACGCGGGGCTCCCTGGGGCTCAGCATCGGCATCCAGCAGCCTGTTGGCCATGTGGACATTTACCCCAATGGAGGCAGCTTCCAGCCGGGCTGCAACCTCAGAGGGGCGCTGGAGAAGATCGCTAACTTAGGGTTGTTTGGTAAGAACACCTTTTGATGTAACTGTTAATGAAGTTTTTTCCCCTGACACATATTTCTCCCTGAAATACTTAAGACAAATTTATGTATGATTTTCCATAACTAAACACAGAGCAGTTATGACCATGGGTGCTGTTTTTAAACCGGCAAACAGACTCAGAGTTAGTTTTTGGCTTCACAAAATAAAGCAGTGTTATATTATATTAACTATTAAACAATAATGTATTTGTTACCACCAGGTTATAGTGCACATTTTTGTGATCATTAGTAATTACACACAGAGTCCAGCAGCTTCAACAACACTGCAGCTACTTGTTATTGTTGTACTTGTCATTAATCTGTCTAAGCAGTGAACATTGTTACTGTCAGTTGCATAATGACACCCTCCAGGTCACTCTGACAGTGAACAGAGGACTCTAAACATGGCAGAGGATTGATGCCTAAAATAAATCAGTCTTAGTTTGTCTAGTAAAAGAGTGGAAAACTAACAACTTGACATAACTATGTAATTAAATACAGTTCCCTCTTTCCTCCTCAGCCATCACCGATGCAGTGAAGTGTGAACACGAGCGCTCGATCCACCTGTTCATCGACTCCCTGCTGAACGAGCAGGAAGCGGCCAAGGCCTACAGGTGTGGCAGCAACGACATGTTCGACCGCGGCATGTGTCTCAGTTGCCGCAAAAGCCGCTGCAATGCGGTGGGCTACGACATCAGCAAGGTCCGCAAGGCGCGCAACGTTCAGATGTACACCAAGACGCGGGCCTCCATGCCTTTCAGAGGTCAGTGGACTTTACTGGTGTTGAAGTGGATAATTCAGCTTGTGCCAAAGTTGCACAATTTCCCACCTGAGTCAGATGAAGTAATAATATTGCACAATCAAGGTCCAGTGGTTAATTCTGAAAAACCCTGCTCTGATTAAAAAGGATTTCAAGACTGTCTGAGCTCAGTAGTGTTTCAGTTTCTTAGTTTTGCAAACTGACTCAAAATAACTTGGAGCAGCTTCACTCCAGCAGCCTACATGCATGTTTAAAATGTCCCACATGCTCTCTTGCTCTGCAGTTTACCACTACCAGCTGAAGATCCACTTCTCCAGTAAGGTGAATCGCTCAGAGATGGAGCCGTCACTCACTGTCTCGCTGTACGGAACAAAAGGAGAGAGTGAAAACCTGGAGCTCAAACTGTAAGTGTTTAAAAGCCTTCATAAAAGATAATTACAGCACCGTGACTTTCATCTCGCGAGTTATGAGTTGTTCTGTAACAGTCGCACAGTAGTCAAAGGAAGCAGCGTGAAGTATAAACCATTAACAGAGATATAACCGCAGACCTGGCAGCATTTGTTGGATTATGTCACTGTGATTTATGATGCAGAGTTTACGAGGCTAAGCTAAATAAAATATTCCCGCTGGCTGCAAGCGGAATACTAACACCTCTCTCTGTTTGTGTCCAACAGGAAGGAGAAAATAGCAACAAATAAGACACATTCATTTCTGCTGGTGACAGAGAAAGATATCGGAGATCTGCTGATGGTGAAGTTTAAATGGGAGGAGACAAACGGGTGGTCAGCTTCCAACATGTTGAAGATGGTTTCTTCATGGTGGTCTGGTGACTCGGACAGTGCAGATGTGGAGGTTCATAAAATCCGCATCAGAGCTGGAGAGACCCAACAAAAGTAAGATGTGCTACTTTATGAAAAAGGCCAGAAAAATACTGCAAATATGTTAAAAAACACAATTTTTGCATTATTTTTTGCAGTAGAAGTGGTAAAAGTAGAAAATTCTGAATTTCTTTTCAGGATGGTGTTCTGCGTAAAAGACCCAGGAGCTCTGAAATTAACACAAGAGGTCACATTTGTTAGATGTAAGGATGCATGGAGGGCAAAATCGAAACGAACTCCCAGGAGGTGAGTTATCCCCCGCACTTTCCTTATCACTTTAACATCACCGTCATTGCTCTTAAATAAAAACACTTTTATCTGTTTCTAGAGTAACTCTGGAGAACCACTGACCTCGAAGAAAGGACGCCGCTGTTGAACGCCCTTCAGTCCATTTCAGCACTTAAAAGTAAATAATTTATACACCCAACTGTAACTTATTTCTCAAACGATACAAAAGTCTCACCGCCTTGTATATACATCCACAAAACTGTTATTTAAAACAATATGTGTATGAATACTGTAAGATATTTTGTAAAGAGCTCTTTGTATGTATGACACTTAAATGTAACTTCACTTTTGGTGCATGTTTTGTATCCAAAGAGATGGGTACTCGTCACATCAGAGCCTCGCATACTGAGACTGGATTTACCTTAACAGTTCAGGAGGTACTGATGTCCTATTGGGTAAAACACCTCAAGTTAAATTTCATGATTATAATGACCACTGTGAAGAATAAGGTCCTCTTGGTGTCCATGGAGGTCTGCAGACAGTTCTCAAACAGCAACCCAGTCTAGAGATGCACTGATCCACCTTTCTGCAAACCACAGATTTGTTACATCTGCAATTATTTTATTTCCAATTGCAAAACTCATTTCAACAACGTGTTTCTGGAACAAAAACCACAAAGATCATGTTTGGGCTTAAAATACGCTTTTTTGGGGACACAATTTCCACTCGAAAAAGCAGCGATATCTGCCCACTGGAAAAACATGGATGGGTCACTGCAAAACACTTACATTAGATGCCTATAAAGCAGCTGTAAAAACGTCAATGACTCGCTAAAATCACAACCGTTTTGTTGTTGTTGGTCTCGAACAGTGGTCTGCAGCTCACCTAGGCGACACACCAGCCACCCTCCTGCCCTCCCCCTGATGACAAAGTACGCTCATCTACTAGAAACGTCGATATAACACAGGTGAAACATGCAAATGTAACATGTCTTCTGGTGACTTGGCTGCAAAAAAGAAGAATATAACTGCCAATATGAATTTCTTGAGGTGTTTTATGCAATATGGTGCAGTGGATTTACCTTCATGTATTATCTAACCAACAGAGCATTCACCACTGTGGCTCCCAGCACTCTACGTGACTGTGGGACCTGTAACAATGTGCCTTACTGTAAACTGTAGCCAGATGTAAGCTGTTGCAAACTTGTCTTAACTTTTTTTCACCTCAGTGTGCTTTAGTTTTGTTGTTGTATAAACTTTGTGACTTTTACTGAAACATCTGAACATGCAAACGTTGTTTTAAAAACCTATTTTTACTGCTACACCTCTGAGAGATGTTACTTTGAAGCTGTTACCTCAAAGAAGCACCTGACATTTTGTCCACTTATAGTTCTGTTAAAGTTACACGAGGTGCATGATGCTCAGTGTGAAGTCGAAAGCACAGTTTATATAAATGTTGTCTCTCTTGACTGCAATTTCTTCTCTGCATGTGACTTTTTTAATCTCAACTAATGCTCTTTTATTCATCTAAACCTTGGCTCTTTAGAGATCGGTACTGTAATCATTGTGACTTTATTTCTACCTACTTTAAAGAAGTGGAAATGTTTTACTTTTGCACTGAAAACAGGAGAAGAAATTGCAAAAACCAAGTTACTTGTACAGTTATGTAAATACCATGATACAGATGATAGATTTTGGGGTATGGGACACTGTTAGTTATATATATTTTTACCTCCCGAGGAATTTAATCTGTAAAATGTGCCTTTCTATAATCTTTTGTACATATTTGTAAATATTGACTGTACTGTATAAATTCTTTAATAAACCAAAAACTGCCTTCTGAGAAGTCACCCTGAGCCTGACTTTTATTTTAGGGTTGTGACAAATACAAATAAAAAATGTTCCATTGTTATCACTTGTATTCACCAGCTCAAGGTTGTTTTATCATTTTCTTATTTATTATCAGAACAAAACCTGTGTGAGATCCAAACATTTTTAACAAATTGAACTGTTTTTGATACAAAAGTGGGAGGAATTGTTAAATCACACAAAATAAGCTTTGTGATTTCTTCTTGTCCTTGATGTTGTGACGCCACGTGTTTGGCTGACTGTGTCAAGGTGACCTGAGAGATAGACTCCATTAGGATGCTTGAAGCCAGCTTTAAGTAAACATATAAATCATTAGTGGTGAAAGAAGTATTCAGATCCTTAACTTGAGTAAGAGTACCAAGACAACAATCTAAGAATAACTAAATTCAGGCTCTGCAATTAAATCTTTAAACCCTTTGAAACCTGAGCAAATTGGCTTTGTTTCTTTTTAAAAACATGGGACACAGGCAATGAGCAACGAAAGGGGAAATGACCCATTAGCAAGAAATTAGTAAAAACAAGAAAATTGGTTTTAAAAAAAAGCACCACATCAGTACAACAACGGGAATTGATGTGTTTTTTTCCCTGCAACAACTAACGCACATGGTTAGGTTTAGGAAAACAGTGCAGGGTTTGGCTTTATAATCTTGGACACAAACACTGTTCTCCTGGGTGAAAGTCGGTGGCTGTTGGTGTTTCACTGCCTTAACTTTTATTCCTGTCCTGCTGCGTTTCGCCCTGATGCCAGCACCTGGAGGCCTGTCATGCTGACGTTAGAGGACGGCTTTTTGAGGCCCAAATGCCGTATTCCTTTAAGGCTAAAATTAGCGATCAAGTTCGAACACAGAAGTGAGGATGCTGCAGGGCAAAACAAGGGAGAGTCCCATCAATCTTTACAGGGGCAGGTGTATGATGCTATGTAGCGTTTAAGGGGAGATGACTCATAGGGAGATTATGAAACAATGGGCCCGGAGGTGCAGAAGGCCCAACCACATCTCCTACACATGAGTAAGACACACAGACGTTACAGTTGTTTTGCATCTCATTGTAATTGTTGTGCATCTCTCTTTGGTTTTGTGTCTCTTTGTGGTCAATTTGAGTCTTTTTGTAGTTGTTTTGCATCTCTGTGGTCATTTGGTATATCCTCGTGGTCATTTTGTGTTGCTCTGTCGTCGTTTTGATTCTCTCTGCAGCTGTTTCACATCTCTTTGTGGTCTTTCTATGTCTCTTTGTCATCATTTTGAGTCTCCTCATGGTTGGTATGTGTCTCCTCAAGTGGCATTTTGCAGGTAAAGCCCAAGGAAGGCCCTGACACTTTGGGGCCGGGGCCTGTGCCAGGTAGGTCAGCTCAGTAATCCATCCATGGGTTGACTGACACACACATGCATCACAGGAGACTCTCAATGCTTGTTGAAATGTGAACAGACAAGTGGCACAAGGAAAAGAAAGTGGCACATGCATCATGACTTACAAAGATATCAGTTAACAGAATAGTGTGACAGGCGTTGAGCAGGTTTCAGTGTCTTCACAGGTCACCTGTAGTCAGATCACGCAGTTTACGATGAGCAACAAAGTGGATTGCTGCAATGTGGCTGTGACACTTCAGAAAAAACCCAGGTGAAGGAATCCTCGTAAAATGTGTGCGTTGTCATGATGTCGTCCCAGAGGTGGCAGGGATCAAAAGTCAGGGGTCACTCAAACTCACTGGTGTACAGCTTGCGGCCACAGAGGCAGACTGTGCAGCCCATCACTGCAGACAGAGTCAGGATCGCCACCAGGATGGCCCACCAGTGAGCCTGCAGGGGATGAACAGAAATATAGTAAGTTTGGATCACTGTTGACTGTATTTCTTCACTAGGCTTTTGTTGTACTTATCGGAGAAATGTTTTGAAGTCAATATAGAAATGTCAGCTTCCTTCATTATCTTGCAGCTGCTGCAGCAGAAGCATAGTCAAGAACTACAACAAACTTCAGTTGGAGACAGTATTCAGTGAGGAATGCTATAAAGAAAGTCAACGGCAGCTGAAATGTGACATGAGGAGAAACAACACAAATGACAAATAAATACTGAGTTAAGTTATTGAGTGTTTTAGTGGCAAAACACAAGTTGCAACAAGTTGACTTTAGGTGTCATATTCTAGGTTGAACTTACGACCCTGCACTGATTTGTTTTGATTGACAGTCACAATTTTTCCTTTACTTTGCAGCTCAGCACATTACAGAGTGAGTCAGCAACACACTGTGCTGTAGGTGTGGTAAAACAACACAATTGTTCCTGAAGTGAGGGGTCATATCTGTCTCCAGTGAAACGGAGGCTTGATCTTTGAGGGGCTCTCCAACCCAAATGGGAATTCCTGATTCTTCACACTGTCATGAAGAACTGAACCTCAAAGAGAGCTGCGACTGAAACATCGAAGACAGCTGAACATCAGAGCAGGAAAATTAACAAACAGACTGAGCTGAGGATGTGACCTCAGGCAAACATCTGCTGAATCTTGACAATCATGACGGCTGCAGCCACAGAGTACGGTAAGTGATCACTTTTTAACCACGTAACTTATGCTGGAAGATTGTGTCTGACCTGGTGCTCTCAAAACCGCCTGTCAAGTCATTTGAGTCTACAAGGCAACTTTAAATCTATTAATACATGGAGACCTGATTGATTAAGATTTCTGTGCACAATTACACTAACACTTCTTGTTAGAAATTAAGGAGTAAAGGAAAGAACTGACGAAAGAATAGAATTAAGTTTTTTAAAGGGTCTGGCAACTGATTTAGATGTACACTGTGGAGCTTTCATTGTAAACAAATGTGTTTACATTCACATTGTGTATGCTTTAGGCTTCACAAACATGTTGAGTGCACATTGCTCTCTTGTAGGCGCATTATCACCAGCAGCTGTTTCAGTCTGGTAAAGCCAGCGTAAATGTACAGCACAAGCAACCTGGTCTTATTCCGAAGTTGTAGAGTAGTGGCACGTGGGCAGTGACTTCCAGCATCAGACACTGACAAAAAAATGCTTCCTTACTCACTGGCATGATACGTGGTCAGTCACTATTACTGTGTAATGGTGTCGTCAGGGTCAGGGGGAAGCGTGGTAGAACAACAGTGTAAGTTAACGGTGTGAAAGATGGAGTAGGGTGGGTGGGGGATGGGGTGGAGTACAACAATCACCTACTAAAAATTAATATCATAAACATGCTGCCAACTAGTTGACTAATTGCCCTAAATGACGACTGTTGGTCGACTAGGAAAATTCTTAGTTGGGGGAGGCCTTATTTGATATATTGTTGTTATCAATTTTGGTTTAATTTAGCATTAGCTGTTCTTCAGCTTTACTGTGACATCCCCGTTGCTGTTATCTTTTAAACGTGTCATCAGAGTAATCATAGGAAACCTTCACCTTCATCCACTCCGCTAAGTCATCGAAGTCATCCAAATTGAGAAGGGAGTTTTTCAGTCTTGCGATGGGGCCGTCCGCATCCAGCAGACGACACACATGGAATTTGTCACAGTAACCCCGGTTTCCTGAGCACGGAGCCCCAGCAACCAGTGGCAACTCCTTCTTCTGGAAGAAACGGGACAGGACGGAGGACGTGGTGCTGGCACACGTCTCGGGCTTATCTGCCATTGACACACAGAAAATCACTTTAAATATATACCAGAATGCATTTTATATATCTATTGTAAGCCACAATGTGTATAATTTATATATATAAATTTATCAATACATAAACACAGACACTGAACTTGGAGCAAACCAAAGCATCCATTACATCAACTGCAAAATTGCTTAGAAAACACCTCATGTTATACTTTGTACACGGACCGTCGTGTCAGATGTAATGGAAAACAATAATGTAACCTCAGTTCAAATTGACACAGGCTGAAGTGTTGGGACACAAAGTGTAAACACATTCCTCAGTGGTAGAGGACACATCGGCCTGTAGTTACCCAGCTGCTGGCAGCACACATGGCATTTCTCCTTCATCAGGTCTCCTGGACAGTCACACTGCTCAAGGCTGTGTTTCAGACACACAGACTCGGTACAGACCTGCAGAGATAACCAGAGACACTCATTAAAAAGAAGACTTTGTTAAGTTCCTGCTGCTCTATAAGGCTGTTGAAGTTAGCCCCTCCCCCAAAAACCTTTTGAAAACCCTGAAGATAAGCTAATAAAGGTAAAAGTACTTTGTGTACGGCTCCAGGCATCCATTCCTTCCCACTGCTGGATGAAAATCTGTTAACATGTCTTAGTCTTAGTTATGTAATCCAGAACGCCACTTAACCACAATAATGTAATAAAACTCACATATGAGCGCAGACTTTATGTTCTCTCTGGTGGATTACACAACTCACAAGTTTCACTGTATCTTACTATGCAACCCCTCACAGCTGACTCACAGGAAATAATGTGCTATAATGTAACATTAACAAAACAGTGTGGACATAATAGTGAACATTCTGTATTATCATGCACTCTTGAACTCTGATGCCAACTGCCTCAGGTCTGACACCCTTTACTTATCATCCATACTGGTAACCTGTTTGTTGTTGTATATATTGTATATCATGGATCACACCTTACTGGTATCTTACTGTTATATAGTTTTATATTTTCAATATTTTATGTTTTTATTTGCTATACGTTTGCTTATCTGCTGCTATTTTAGTCCTTGAATATTGCACTCTTTGTATCTGCACTCTTCCCTCCTCCAGTTTTGTATTGCAACCGCTGGACAGCAGTCACCCTTGGGATGCATAAAGTTCTGTCTTGTCTTGTCTTTCACAAGCCTGCTGAGTGATTTTCATACTGTACATAATGAATGAAAACCAATGGAGGCCAGCTCATTAATGCAAATAGCTAGTCAGGTGGCAGCAACTCAGTGCATTTAGGCATGATGCCATGGTCAAGACGACCTGCTGAAGTTCAAACTGAGCATCAGAATGGGGAAGAAAGGTGATTTAAGTGACCTTGAACGTGGCATGGTTGTTGGTCTGAGTATTTCAGAAACTACTGATCTACTGGGATTTTCACACACAGCCGTCTCTAGGGTTTACAGAGGATGGTCCGAAAAAGAGAAGATATCCAGTGAGCCTTGTTGATGCCAGAGGTCAGAGGAGAATGGCCAGACTGGTTCAAAATGATGGAAAGGCAACAGGAAGTCAAATAACCACTGGTTACAACCAAGGTCTGCAGAAGACCATCTCTGAAAAAACAACATCAGCTGACAAAGCGGCTGTATTTGCCGAGTTGGGATGAGAACGTGTTGAGATGTCTGGCTTATGGAGCTGAAGTTAGAAGAGTTGTATAAATTGTTTATTATTTACCTGGAACACAGTCTCGACAATTTAATCAACAACCAACACTTTGTCATTTGTTTCACAAGCGTGGTTTCCATACTTCATTTTCTTCAAACGGCTCACGTTTTGTTGTTTGTGTTTTGAAGAAGTGAACCAAATTTTAGTTTTACTCTGTTTGTTTCTGCAGAGTGAGTCAGTTTTCCTGTTTTCTGTTAATTTGATTCTTAGAAGGATTTGAGCCTTCAGCTGAAAGTGAGTAAGCTGAAATAATTAATGATTAAATTGAACACTACAACTAAAACCACACCTTTGTTTCTGGATCCTTTTTCTTGGATTTTAACATTACCACATCCCTCTTTTTCAGATGTTATGCTCCATGATCCTGGATGAGGTTGTCAGAGGTTAACACAGTTAGCATCTCTGGAGAGTAATAAATCCAGAACAAAATTCACAGCTGGAGTAAATACGCTGCCTCTCCTGCTGAGAGAACAGTGTATCATCACAGGATGTTTAACGACTTATAGAGTCACACACTATTTTCTCCTGGTAACATAGATCAGATCTTTTCTTAGTAATGCTGTGTTGCAATGGCACGTGTGTTTACAAATAAAATGGGTCGTGAGCTCACTTATTTGACTTTTTTATTGAATCCAGAATTCAAACATCATGTAGCCGAAAACAGGAAACACAACACGTTGCACTGAAAAATGAACTCTGAAAAGTAGTGTTTCATTGGCCTTTCTGGTTGAAATTTTCAGTCTCACCTCTGACGACACGCAGCACCAGTGAGTGGGTGTGTTTGTTGTGGTTGTAAAACGTTCTTTGTTGTACCTGTAACCACAACCCAATGGTAATGCCACAGTGTGCTGACACACCCTGTCAAGTTCTGCATCACTGCCGCAAGGTGAAAAGTTAAGCCGCTGGAGATAAACAAACGTAAAGGCTTTCAGCTATGAAGTTGTTCTTCAAGTACAAATCAGGTTTACTTTACATTTCTGTTAAGCATATTTGATTGTAGGCAGTGGCGATCCTAGCCTATGGAAGCCCTGATGGTTGGGCTAATGGTTACACCAGGTAGCTAGCTGACTGTGCTAATGGTATCCAGCTGTTATGCTGAGGGGGGGCCTCACACAAAGGCGCACCGCACCGCTCCGCCTTTTTTTTTTTTTAATTGAATGCCACTAATTGCCTCTTCTGACAGTGAACCCCTGAATGCGAATTATACAGGTTTGAACTAAGATATATATTTCTTGCTGTTCAAGTGCGGGAGTTCAAGTAAGGGTAGAATGAAGTGTGAGATGGATCGGCGGTTTGGTGTGGCATTTGCAGTGAGCTTTCAATTTACTGGTCCATCTACGTCCCAACCCTCACCTATGGTCATGAGCTCTGGGTAGTGCCCGAAAGAATGAGATCGCGGATACAAGCGGCTGAAATGAGTTTCCTCCGTGGGGGGGGGGCTGGGCTCAGCCTTATAGGGTGAGGAGCTCGGATATCCGGAGGGAGTTCGGAGTAGAGCCGCTGTTCCTTTGTGTCGAAAGGGGTCAGTTGAGGCGGTTCGGGTGTCTCTTGGGCGCCTCCTGTTAGAGGTGTTCAGGGCATGTCTCACTGGTAGGAGGCCCCCGGGGCAGACCCAGAACACGCTAGAGGGATTACATATCTCATCTGGCCTGGGAAAGCCTTGGGGTACCCCAGAAGGAGTTGGAAAGCGTTGCTGGGTTGAAGAATGTTTGGGATGCATTGCTTGGCCTGCTGCCCCTGTGACCAGGCCCCAGATAAGTGGATGGATGGATGTTCCAGGCAGCCATTTTGTCTATTAATTATCCACATTGTTGTTTTATGATAATGCAGTTAAACACAGAACGTGTTGCAGTTCATTTCCTCACATCATTATAATTTGATTTACAGTTTTCTTACCCTAAAATTGTGTTCATTCAAAAATGAGTGGAAGGAATGGATGTCTGTTGAGTGAGCTTCTCAGAAATTTGAACCCCTATAGTTAATTGACAACTGAGCAAATGTCATCTGATGATAAGGATCATGTGATAAAATTGAAAGCTCCAGAACAGCTACTAAATGAACTTTATAATGTGGTCAAGAATAAACTCTGAAACTTAACACAGATATTTTTTTTTCCAGCACCAGCTTTGCAACATCGCTGCATACTTGCACACTTTGGCTTGTTGGGCAATGTAGTTGAGTCACACAGTGATGTGGTGGATGTGGCTGCCTTACCCCGTTCAGGCACACACGCGTGCCCTGACTGCAGACTGTAAGGTTTTCCTTGGCACTTGGCTCAGGGCAGAACGGGGAGTGGCCCGAACACACAACCTCTTTCTGACAGTCAGTCTCGTCATCACAGGCCTGACCCGCTGGCTTAAACTTACAGTCCTGACCGCAGCACAGGCCCTGACTCGGACTTAATAAAAGCACACACAAAGAGTTAAGGTGACAGATAAACATGAAAACCACATCCATAAAGAGAACAAAGACACACTTAGAAGGCAGAGCGTCAATAAAATAGTTTAGATGACTGTGGTGTACTGATTTAATCAACCCTAAGAGTCTATTAAACTAAAAACAATGCCATCGTAGTCTGCATGCAGAAACATATCCTTAAACTAAAACTGTGTAAACTTCCATCTTGAAGCTTGTATTCACACTCTGATGGTCTGTGTACCTGCACACTTTACCAGGCTTGAGGTGACACTGGACTCCTACATGCTCTTTGGCGCTGAAGCAGCAGGGGTCTGTGTCGTTGTGACCGACGTCACACTCCTCACCGTCCTCGACAATCAAGTTTCCACAGATGGGCTGATCACTGACTGGACAGAACACACAGATAAACACACACATATGTAAATACACCCACTGTGTATAATTATTTACAGTGACTTTTGCACGGGGTAAACATTAGGCCCCCGACCGCACTCTTGTCTTCCTCACCCACAAAGCAGTCTTCCTTCTTCGCCTTCAGGATCTTGCTGATGTGTTTGATGCTGCAGGGCGAGAACTTGTCGTTGTTTTCACGCACCTCGCTAGTGGCTTCAGGGTACATCAGGTACCTGCCTTTACCGCCCCTGGAGCCGAGGTTTCCGCAGTTCGAGCCGTCGTCGTGCTGGAAAACAGACCAGAAATTAACTTTTAGATGGTGTGTTTTTCCGGATATGCATCTACACACTGAGGAAATGGAATCAGCAGCTATGTGGGCATTGCCATTAAAAGTACTCAGCTGTAGACAGGAACAGCAGGGGGAAAACAAATGATCTAACCAAGCTGAAGCCATTTGTTTCCATCCTCGTTATGGCTCATCATCCCAGACAGTAAAAATGTTTTCAGTAAAGCCCATGGACAGTTGTTTTACAGCTGAAAGCTCTGTGACTTTTAGAGTTATCTTTATTATGTTTTCAAATAAAAAAACATATCCTTTATGCAGTCAAAAGATTTCCCTGGAATCTGATGGCCGTGAAACAGCAGAGGAATGTTGTGTTCCACATGTGGTACACAGAGAGCAGAACAGAGAGCTTTGGTCAGAGATGTATTATTATTATTATTATTATATGTCAAACATTTTCTGGAACTCGTGTTCCCTGTATGTCAAACTCATGGGTGAATTAAGAGACCAAGGGACGAGCTTTAAAGTAACGTAGACACGTGTGGAGGAAACATGTTTTGATGTGGGTGAATCCGCATCTGTTCCTGATTAGTTTAATGGATATAACTTAATAGTATTCACTCTGTGTGTCAGTATCTGCAGCTCTGGGGTTAACACCACTGCGTGTCACAGCAGATGTTAATGTGGTTACATTTATTTTTGCTTTAATTGTTATTTGCTGGTATCATTTGGTTACACGTGAATTTACTGCTGCAGTCTTAGAGATGACAAAAACTGTGGAAAGCAATAATAAAAGGAAGAACAGCCAAGTATGGGTATAGATCACTACTGCGCTGCATCAGTTTGCAGATTTCCTGCTCTTCCTGTTTACTTCTCAACACCTGCAGTGGTTTTACAGATGCTGGTACCCGAGACATAACCTAGATACAGTTTAAAGATAAACAGCTTATCATGACACGTGGCAAATGTTGGACTGTAAAGCTTGTCATGCTCGGGGCAAAACAAGTTCAGTCCCGTCTTCTTTAAATCTCGTGACAGCTGTTTTGATTATCGTTTAATTGTTTCAGAGACTGTTAAAGCAAAGATACCAAACAAGATCTGGTGTCAGTTTCTCCATTGTGAGAACTTAGTGCTATTTTTTTTTTTGTTTTGTTTTACCTATACGATCATAAAGTGAATATCTTTGATTTACACTTTATAGCTCATACATTATATTATTATTATTATTATTATTATTATTATTACTTTGTGTTTTTATTGTATTTATTTTATTGGTTTGTTTTCCTTTGTTATCCTTTTTTCCTTTATTTGTCATTATCATTTTTGTCTTTCTAATATGTTTTTGCGTCTTATCTCTTTTTAATTTTTCCTCAAATTTTGTCATGATCCCATTTGGCATTGCTTCTGCTTTGCTTTATTTTTCCAAAGCACTTTGTAAACTCTGTTTTTAAAGTTGCTTTATAAATGAATTATTATAATTATAATAATAATAATAATAATAATAAATAAAAAATAATTGCCATGTTATTAAATAAAGAAAATTAATTAATAAAATTAAAAAATAATCTTTAGCTACTAATTTAATCAGACTCAGAAATCAGAATCTGAACTACATTATTGATCCCAGGGGGAAACTGGTACACATTGCAGTTGCTTTCATATTTAGGCTATGTACACAATAATTATAAAAAAGAAAAAAGAAAAGAAGAAGTATGTATGCTGCAATATATAACAATATGCAGAAATATGTGCATTATACTATAAAGTGTGTTAAATTTAAATGCAAGAACAGTATAAGTAACAAATAAATAAGAATATAATTGAAAGGGTATTGCAGCAGTTGAATCATTGCACAATTTTTGCACTGTTAAGTCAGTATCGCACAGTTAGATCATAAATAATAACTGAATTATGGAGTTAAAGGTGCAAATGGCCATATGTGCACAAAATGTAGGAAGGAGCAATAAAAGAAAAATGTGCATTTCCTATTTACTATATAGTTTAACTCACACCTGTGCATAGCACACAGTTCTAAAAAGCCAGTGTATGCATATGTGGTTGTAAGGGAAGTAGGTCAAAGGCCACAGCAGCTCTCTACCCAGAATTCACTCTGCATCACAGCCCACACCTCTCTTTCCTCCACCGTGTTTGCTACAAATCTCAGTTGTAGCCCGCGCTCAGACATCTTCATGTGCTTCACATGAAAAGGTCCGGTCTGGAAACAATGAGACATGCCTGTCACAGGAGCCAGTGCACCGGGCCGGAGTGGAGAACTTACGGTAGTTTAACTCATAAATAGCACGCAAGGTCTGATGCAGCAGAACTAATCTGCTCAGGAGTGCCTCAGAGGTCTCTTTGGTCTGTGGAAGTGTGAATAACAGAGGGCAGGGTGAAAACAGCCCGAGGAGCACTGCTGGCATTTTGGGCAGTGGGAGAAAGGTTGCAGGTGTTAGCAGCACTCACACATGGAGAGGGGGTGCGTGCACTTGTGTGTACACATAAGCTGTGTGTTGTTATGGTGGAAGAGGTTGTAAATGAAGAGAATAAATGAAAAGATAGAAAGAAATCACAGCTCCTCCTGTTCTCTTTTCTCAGATTATCCACTGAGGCGGAGCCAAGGGTCTCTGAAACAAACCACTCAGTACAGGCCAAGGTCTCTAATGCCCACATAAAGTGAATCATTCACAGACAATTTGTTCCAGTGCAGTGCAAACAGCCATGTATGCCCTGTGAGAATATGTGAAGTAAGTCTAAATTTTGAAACACAGAGATTCGTCATGTTGAATTATCATTCAGTACACAACCAGCACGTTAGACTGGAAGGTGTTCGGTTCACTGGGGCACCAAAAGGGGTTCAGGATACAACTGGTAAAGTTGAACAAACATCCGAAATACTCAACCACAGGTCAGTGGAGTATGTTCAGACCTACATTGTGCAATTTCAGTTATCTGCAGCTGTCTACACCCTCGATTTTAAATCTGAGCTTGAATTCATGATGTCACCAGGTTTTTCTCATCTTAATGATGGACTTGGACTTTCCATGTCAAGATATGACTTGCAAGGTACCCTGGGTTCTGGGATGCTGTGTCAAATTCACCCTGTTACATAGAGTGTCTGTTTTCAAAATACACTTCCATTTTCACAGGAAATTTACCGTTTACATACTGTCTCTTTCAAAATAAAAGCACAACGCCAGTACAACACTGTAAATTGGTGTTTTTTCTTCCTCGACAACAGACAGACATGGTGAGGTTTGGGCAACAAAAGCAACACAAGCACATGGTCGGTTTAGAAAGAAAGAACAGGGTTTGGCTTCACAATCATACGGGAAGCGAAAGTCGACCTTCTGGGTGAAAGTCGGTGGTTATTGGACCGACCCAACCTACTCAGACTTTCACCCCCTTAACTTACATTGTTGTCCAGTTGTGTGTTTTTTTGTGTGGCCACATATCATGCCGACGTGAAAGGGAAATAACTGCTTTTTTCATCAGTGTCTGGCGCCGTAAGTGACTGCCCAAGTGCCGATATTCGACGACTACGGAGTGAGACCAGGTTGGTGCTGCAATATTTTAGTTAACATGCAAATTATTTGAATGTAGGGTGCAAAAAGTAACCCGAAAGATATACTATGCAGGATGTTCCTAAAAATCATTGTAGTGTGACAGCCCTCTTACCTTCCGGCTTGGGCTGTCTTTCCCTTTAAGACAGGAAGCAGGAAGAGCATCACTGATTAACTCATACCAGGTGCTCTTCAGATATATAAGCTGCTGGAGTCAGTCAGTCTTTCACTCTCACCTGGGCGTATGGTTTGTTGTCTTCTTTAGGTTGTTTTCTGTGTTTATTTGTTCATTACACAATGTTTAGTTAAAGTTCATGTGTGTCCTTTCCTCTTTGTCCATCCCTTGAGCCGACTGTGACGTAGACTCACACAGTAGTAATCCCTCCAAATCAACACATATGACCCACTAGAAGTGTGTAGTGGTGTATTTATTGGCAGGGACACAGCCCTCTGCCCGTATTTTCTTATTTTATTATCATTTTACTGTGTTCGGGATGCTCCTGGGCACAGGAACACGGTGAGGTTGGGACTTAGGTAGCGGCTAAGTGCCAGACTGTAAGCAGCTTGCATCTAAGAGGGAGCTATGAAAATCATGGACACAGTGCCAAAAACCCTGCAAATGTAGTGGACGAGAATTAATCTGCACAATAACCAACAATTCAAGCAGTGGTACATCAATTAAAATTCACATTATCAGGGGAATGTCATGGGATATTCACTGTACAATACATGCCACAACAACCATACATGTACAACCATACATTGTTGGTTTGACTGAGCCACTTCAGACAGATGTATTTCATATATTGATGCACTATGTATTTAGTATTTCATAAACTCTGTGATGGTGACTGACCGGAGATCCCAGGCTGTGGCCGAGCTCATGAGCGAAGGTCAGCTGGACCTGTCGAGGAGGCAGGAACTGTCCGTAGTTCTGAATTGTGACCAAACCTGTGTTCTGGCTGATGTTTTCACCCTTAAGAGATCTGATCTGCTTTGAACATATTCCTCCTGCGTTACCTGAAGTGCACACAGATGAAAGGATAAACACTGAGTTTGGTTGTCACTGAGGTCATGTACAGTAAATGACAGTTAAAAGAAATGTATAATATAAAAACAGTTTGTCTTCTGGTGTTTCTTTCCCACACAATATGTGGTTAATGTATTGTAAGACGGTGGAAGAAATGCAGGTTTTGATAAAGTTGGCAGCTCATGAAACATAACTCAACTCAACTCAACTGCGTCACTGCTTCAGATTCAACAGACCTGATGAAAACATACCTTCTTGTCACTTTGCGGTACAGTATGGTTGCATAACTGACCTTGTGCTACTGGAAATACCTTAAACCAACAATGCTACTGAAGCGTTATTGATCTCTGAGGCCCCGGGTCAGCGGGGTGCGGACAGACAGACAGACCAACAGACCTGCTGAGCTCCTCTAGTTTCACATCAAAGCCTGCAGAGCCATTTGGCCTCCAATAGTCTCCATCTGCCTTCGGGTTTACGTAATGTCCCTGAAAGCCATTCCCACAATTACAAACAGCTGGCCACGTTCACATGGATGGATGGCTGGGCTGTGACATCATCTTTCAGCTGGCCAGCCAGAGGACAGGTTTCACAGATACCAGTCTGATTGGTCAAACTGAGCACCTATGATAAGGTCTCTCAGAGAGGCTGCTCATGGATTTGAGTAAAGTGGTCAGATGTGACTTCAGGTAGTTCAGCAAGACCATCCCTTAAATTCAAGACATCTCACACTTAAATACCTTAATTCCCCAAATGACTATTACTCATCCCATATTATGTTGATGATGAAATTGTAAAAAGCAAGACTTTGTTTTTCCTGTCTGTCTCCAGGGTGAAGAAAGAGTCTAAAAATTAAAAAAAAAAAGAAAAAAGTCTTGATTAACTGGAGTAAAAAGGCAGCAGCAATAACAACAGCAAAACTAAATCAAAATTTCTGATTACAAACTCTCACATAGCTTGTTCCATTTACGTCTCATTTATCCAGTCATATGCTCAGTACTTCCCAAACATTTAAAGAAGTATTTCACTGCTGCAAAGATGGTCTTTTCATAAAACTGGGCTGACTATGCAGTAGAGAGGTGCAAATACTTTTGAAATTGGTGCTACATGACCAGCGAAAACAGAGGAAAATGGCTGTGGCATTTGCTTTTGCCCAAGAGGTAGAAAACCTCCATTTACCAGAATGCACTGCGAGGCATTGGACCAATAAACACTGCCGTTCCAGCTTGGTGATGTAATGCGAGCTTGGCCATTTTGACGCAGGAAAAAATACGGTGGTTGGTTGGTAACAATCGATTTCCAACAGTTATACGTTAAGCTAAAATGTGTGTCTAAAAACATTTTAGGCGAGAAATAGGCAACACAGTAACTAGGTTCATATTTGATCAGCGCTGCCTAGTCTCACAGTTTGAGTTTGAGAACCACTTCTATACTCTTTTGTTGAGCACTAGAATATTTTGTACTGACTCACTTCATACACCCGAATAACTCACGTCATACGCGCATTTAATTGCTGAACTGATGAATGAACTTTTGCCGGTACGTCCTCAGCATCACACGTCCCGAGGAAATCAATACTGACTGGCTATAGTGGTGTGAATCGATCACTCAAGTTTACATTTTTCAACTTGCAAATAAGCATATGATGTGAAATCTCGCTGCTTGCTTCATTCTCGCAGCTTCATTCATGTCGCGTCCATCCCGAATTCCGGTTGGAATATGCATCTAATCATGCCTTTACATCGACTTTATATGTGATCTGTTTTATTTGTGCCCACTGTGAACACAACATCAGTGACCGTGGTGGCGGGGATACAAGAGAGCAAGCAAAAAAAAAAGTTGGGCTGAGAGAGGAGCAGGGAGATCTGGGCACTGCCTGGTAACATGGAAACCAAAGTCCATTTACACGTACTACCCATGTTATTATAATACAAAGCTGTTTGAATATATGCAAAGTATCCCTTTATGGGTTAGTTTGGATTCACCATGCTCACAATAACACACAGCAGCGAGGTAGAATATGTTTCTGGCAGAGGAGTCTGGCTTTAAAGTTTCACAAACAGTTCAGTCCCCTGTCAGGAGGCTGTCTGTTTGGGAAGTACTGCGCACACGACTGGGTCACGCATGAGTTGTGTGAGAGGTTGTGAACAGACGTTTTGATGTGGTTTTGTTGTTGCCAACTTGTAACTTCAATATGGAGGCCTGCGAGAACAGTTTTCTTTACAAATTCAGTGTAACACAGGGTGAGTAATGGTCTTTGGGGGGGTGAAGTATTCCTTTAAACAGGGTCAATCCCTCATATTGTATTTGGGCCAAAAATCTACTTAGTGCTGAACCTTGGAAGATGCTAACCACCTGTGCCTCTAATCGAAGCCCAATAAAATGACCAGTCGCTGCCTAACAGCCTCCACAGCCACTCCTGTCTGTGCTCTTCCTCATCCATTATCATGGTCTCCGCGCCTATTGCCACCACAACTCTTTCAATCAGCTGCCATGGTTATCTCCATGTGTCCCTCCTCTCTTGCCATTGGTTATCTCCATTTGTGCCCGTGCCCATGTGTGCTTCAGGTTGGAGGTCTCAGCAGTTCCCATACAGGCACGTGAATTTTATGTAACACCTCTTACACAATACGGCCAGTGCCATTTTGAGTGGTAAGGCTCGTGAGGTGTGTGTCTGTTAAAGATATTCAGCGCCTGTTTCACAGAAGTCTGAGTTCACAAGGTGTCACTGAGGACTGTGGGAACCAGTCACGGGCATCTGGATCTCCCACCACCGGCATGTTTTTCTTACACAGTGGGCGTATGTGTGACGTCCAGGAACAGTGAGGGACGGTTAGAGGTTGAAAAACAAAAAACAAAAGTGCACCTTTATCTGTGCTGTTGTAGGAACAGTGAGGGTACTGTAGGGGCGAGGAGCGAAGGAAAGACAGTTACACCACTGTCATGTGTCAGGTGAGGGAGGTAGCTGCTGACAACCTGAGGCAATTTTATCCCTCGGTGTTTGATATCACGATAGCTATTGCCAGAAAAAAGAAGGCTGAATTAAATTTTTAAGCTTGGGAGGAAAATCTGGAAGAAAATGTGACAGGATTAAAAAGACATAAGTTTCATATCAACAAATTGTCAGGGACGACCCCCTCAGCCACATTAATCAAGAATTCTTGATGCATTTCTCCCACATTCCCAGCTTTTGACCTAAAATGGCCTCCCCTGGTGGGCTATTCAAGGAGCCGGCTTTCCTAGAAAGAGCTCAGTTCGGAGGACTGAGCTGTGGTTTTTGGCAGCGCGAGCACAGGGGGGGCTGTGATTCTGTCCCCTCCTCCCTCTCTCTCTCCGTCTTTGCCGCAGAAAGGAGCCGCAATGAAAGACTCCTATTATTAGCTCGCTTGACAAACACAGACCGGATAAACAAGCGAGCCTCCAGAATAACTTACACGTAATGCACACAGTCACCGTCAGCAGGAAACGCACGCACAGTAATACCCCCTTCAAAAAATGTTTGGTCAGAAAGTATCAATAAACATCACAGACAAACCTGGAGGAACCCACACATACACAGACTTTCACACGGTGTCTTAGGAACAAACAATAGTAAATGGGCAGTCTTTCCTTTGATAAACAAACAGGGGGATTCCATGTGTCCTCATTACACCTTTAACAGCAAAAACAGGTGAGCCATTTGACCGCCAGTTACTCCAGAGTTCTCAGAAAAATACAGTGGATGTGCTCTGGACGTCTACCATAAGTATTGTAAAATAAAGCAACGGCGTCTCACGGCTCGCTTTGTCTCCAGAGTTCATCGACCTGCACATTGCAAATCTAAATAGTACTTATTCACAGTATTGTGGGAACAATTTGACCTTTTAGGACAAAAGACTGTCTGGAACGCATCACAGATTTCATTCAAGCCAATTAGTTTTGTTGTTTTTGCTGTCGTTGATATCAGTTGTGGTAAAATTTGACTAAACTGCAACAAGAATGGTGAGCTGATCAGACAGGACATGTTAAATCAGGACAGTGGGAAAAATTATAGGCACAGACATCAGTTTGTACGCCAAACTCATCCTCCAGAAACTAGACGAACCATTACAGGAAAGTCCAAATTCAGCCGCAGCAGCAACCTGATCTGGGAAAGAGACTTCTTAAAAAAAAAAAAAATCAGAAAAGGTAGATACAATAACTATTTTATTCCTCAAACCATCAGCTATCGGTGCTACGCTTGAGTTCAGTCAGACAGCTCACGTTTGTTACACCCTGAAGTCCCCATCAAGGTCATGTTTTCTTTGTTTTGTCCCTCATTACCCCTCCTCTCTTGTGTATTTAGTCCACCTGCTGCCCTTTGTCTGTGCCACTTTGTCTCTGTAGTTTGGAACACTTGTTCTAGCCATTTGTTCCTAGTGTTCTCTAGTTTTTGATCAGGTATCTTGCATTTTAGCATTGTGCATAAGCCCCAAGCTTTTTGGAAACGTTTTTGAGTCCTGCTACTGAGTCCTCTCCTTTGTTGGTACCAGCCTGATAATGTTTTATATGTTTATTTCAACAGCAGAACATAAGTAGAGTTTGGCGTCTAGACTCTAGACGGCCTCATCGCTTCCTGTAGATATGTTTACATGAGATATTGGGGAGTGATGATGGTGGATGCAGGGCAGCAGCAGCATACACAATGCAAAGGGAGAACTGGGAAGATTTTACAGCTTAAACAGACCGCCAAATTGAGAGGGTGTTTTTGTAAATGAAATATGGAGAGTGACATAAGACATATGTGTATGAATCAGTGCAGCTTGAGTTGACTGCCTGAACCAGCTTGCAGGTGTCGCTCCATTTCTCCCCACAATGCAGTACTGTATGTGTTTCCAACAAGTTATGTCTAATATGTATAATGCGTTTAGAATAAAACTTTAATCAGACTTTAATCAACAGGTTTCTCAGATGGTCACTTGCACCTTTGTACTCTTATATCAATTTTGATTTTACTGATTTGAATTGACTTTTT